ACCAGTTACAGAGGAAGGGGCCAGCATATGCAAATCGTGATTGTTTCAGTTACATTACAGTTTACTGCAAGTGATTTGCTAGAAGAAAAACACCAGGTAAGCAATAATACTGAACTATTTTTAAGTTTCTATAGAACTTAAAACATGAGCACAAACTTCTTCAAACTGATTGCCCAATAGCAAAATGTCTCAAGTCACAAGCGAATAGAAATATGCTCTGTTGGGAGAAGGAAAAAAAAGAATCTTGCAATTATTTCTGTCAACAAGCAGTTCTTCCAGAATACATAAGGAAGAAAAGCCACTCAAGTTCAAATATGTAGTGTCTGACCATAGTGAAATTTGGAAACCATTATACAGAATCCTTTTTGAAAGGCAAAAAGCAGTGGAAATAAAGTGATATTTTTAAGAATAGAAAACTTTGAGTATATTTACATATTTAACATACTTGATAATGTCTTCTCCAAGACAAATTTTTCAGAGTACCTGACTATTGAGCAGAAAAATAAAATGGCCACAGTAAAATAAGTCCAGCACACAGCTGACTGTTTTCCACACAATTTAATTGCAAATGAAAACACAAAATAAATCTGACTTTTCAGTGCTAGAAGAGGGTAACTGCAGCTGAATATTCACCAGAGGAGGCAAAATTATCCATAGGATAAAAATACTGTAGCACCATAATAACAAAACAAGCACTTTGACACTGCATAAAGAGCACCACTATGTCATTATCGCTAAAGGCAAGAAATCAGGGATGGTAGCATTATCTCTCATTCTTCTCTATGTAATTAGAAAATAGAATCCGAGATGCCTTATCAAAAGTAAAATGTGCAACAACAAAATCAGCGGTAAATACTGTGAAGTAAGTGCAAACAAAGCACTGAAACCTCATGAGATCCATGATCATGTCAGCGTAGTGTAGGAACAGATTTATTTGAATCAAACTGGAAGGATTACCTCTTGTAATGATTATTTCTTGAGTATTTTTTAAATTGAGCTATTGAACAGCCCATTGATGCAACAATGTAATGACACATTGAAAATCACAGTTTGCTCATCACAGGATTCCAGATGAGTTAATAGCAGATAATTACACAAATTTTGCAAGCACGTCATTTCAACAGTTCTCTTTGATATTTCAATTTAAGTGCACCTTGTAAACTCTGGCTATGTACAGCCAAGTGTACCAGAAAGAGAAATGTTCCCAAAGAGAAAGGAACTTAAAACAACAAGACAAAAACAAGCCAAAACTCAACAATCCAACCAAAAAGCCTATATTTTCTAGGTTAGAACATTTTGATCACAGAGGCATGAATCTTGGTGTCAAAACAAGTTCTCTGAATAAAAGGTTTTTGAGCCTAAGTTAGCTTCAAAAGAAAATATACCTAAACTGGAAGCAAATAAACATGGGGACAAAAATGCCATAAGTTCTCTGCATTAGCAGCAGAACTACTGCCAGGAGTTACATCACCAGCACCAAGCCCATATGCCATCACTCTTTGTGATACTGGTGAAATGAAAGCTTTCAAAGAGCACCCAGCTGGATAATGCCACTCTGCTTTTTGAGGTAACATAGATGCAGCCTTCTATGTCTGACTAACTTTGCCTCCTGGATGGAAGGGAGGAAACAATTTTGAGGCATAATTCATTGTGTCCTAAATTAAACACATAAAACAAGTTTACCTTCAGCTGCATAAAGCTCACTCAAACTCACCAGCCACGCTATAAAACAAAGGAACACACAAACACAAGTGCACATGCTGCATCCGAATGCAAATTTGCTTCAACAACTGCATATGCCATAGGAAAATGAATTGTTTGGGGAAAGAAAGAGACCAGATGATTCGAACAGCAGTTACTGACAGTTGTCCTAACTTCCACCTGAGACATATCTATTCATGTATGTGTTATGAATAAGTGTCATAAGTTGGTAATGTCTTCATTTCAGCTGGTTTCATTACCTGCATTTCATTTCCAGAAGAATGGTGATACAGATCTCATGGTATCTATCCACTCCAATTATAAAATTGATTTCTGCCCTCTGTAAATCCACAGAGAGGATGAACAATCCTCCAAGAAGCACTGCTTCTGAGCTTCTGCCCTGGTGCCAATGTGTCCAGCTTTATGTCTTTTTGGCTGGTGGTAAGAAGTGGGGACAGACCAGAGCCCCTGTTTGTCTGCTGAACGCGGAGCTGCCGAGTGTGTGACACGTGCTGCCGAGCGTCGGCGTGGCTGCGGAGTGGCAGCACATTCTTAGCCCTTTCTCTGCTGAAAGCAAATAGCAATTTGGAGGAGGCATGTTCCCACAAGGCTTGGCACAATGCTCAGTGCCTCCCTATGCTGCAGAAGACCATCTGAGCTGGAACTTTTATGTGCATTTAGCCATTAGAAATTTGGCTCACATTTTTTACTACAAATAACCTCGTTAGAAAGCTACCATAATAAAGGACTGAAGAAGCTAGTCCATTTTTTCAAATATAGATATTAGGACCTTTATATCACACTAGTAAAGATTTCTCCATTAGGTTAAAAACATTTTTAGCTTTGTGCATGAGTCTTTGAACTGCTGCTGTTCTGGAGGTAGCTGCAGTGAAGCTAGCAAGAACAATAGTGACTTTACCCATCAGTTTCCAAGTTTCTAAGAGCATATTTCATTTCAGAAACCCATAAGAGAGTTTAAAAAAAGTCTCGGAATTCTATCAGGAGAAATTCTGAAAGGAAAATATTGCTGATCTCTGAATTGTTTTGAAACTAAAGTCTCAAATGCCTTTAAATTAGGAATCTATTTTTCATACAACTCTTGCTATGAAAAGTTTTGATTGAAGCTGAATATTGTTCTCTTGATATGTGTATGTGTGTGGAGCAGGGGGTTAAATTCAGAATATGATAAATGTAATCCACATCTGAGCACAGTGTTCAGTATACATCTATGTTAAATGATGAAGAACCAATTTCTGGATTTTCATTCCAGGACAAAGAACATTATTCTGCAAAGTCTTGTGCAAGATCTCCCTGCATAAGAAATAAAATATTAGGAGTGTGCAATACCTTCAGTGACTTAATTCACAAACTACACTAATGACATGGGTTGTATGTCTTTTATGGGTACTAGGTAGCTATTAAAAATGCTTAAATCCAGTAATTTTTTAACAAAGGAATGACATACATGACCTAAGATTGACTTTAATGGATAGCACACACTATTTCTGAGCATAAGGATGTATGAGATTCCAGGCTCACAAACTGCTAGTTGAAAATAGTTACTTGGACTGTAAAATCAAATGTGTAAGACTAAAATATCAGCCTTTTGGCTGTATGTGCTAACCTTCTCCTACCCTCTGAACAGTCCATCCTGAATACTGATTTAAACAGGATCAATTGGAAAAGGTAGTATGATCATATATAACACATATTTGCTCCAGAATATATTCATGTAAAAGAGGCTAAATTAGGGTTCAGAGGCGTTTCTTAACTCTCAAGAACTAGCTCTTGCAACCGCAGGAAACTTAATTTAAAGATAACTCTGCTGGGAGTTATTTTACACTCCTTATTTCTGGCATCAGAAGTTACACATGAATCTTGAACCTGCTGCATTGCAGTGCAGGATGCTATTGCTAGGATTGTTGAGATCTTTAAGTGTACAGATGCACATTAGCTGAGAAAGGGGGATGTGTGTTTATGTGTGAGTGAGAAAAACATCTTGAGTCTACAGTGTCAAGAAGTCTGTACTGTTACCCTTTAAGCTAAGTATTTTAAGGATTGTTTGGGATGGAAACTGCTCAGTTTAGTATTTTTTTTAATGTATGACCACAGACTCGTCCTATTCTACACCTATCTCTCCATTTTCTTTTTTTCAACTGGTTCAATCTGCGTCTCTTGGTGTTGGGTAGTGTCAGTGTGAACTTGGCCTGCTCCCTGGAGTCTACTAATGTTTTCCCAAGAGATCAAAATAAGATAAGGATAATGACAATTTTTGTCACTTTGCATCCTAAATGAAATTTTATGGGACAAAGAAAAGAGATTTCTGTGGCCCAAAGGGATTTCCTCTGCTGAATACCAAACACCTTCTACAAACAACAGAAATGTGAGAGATTCTCAAAATAAAAGGTCACAGGGATTTTCTATAATAGAAAGGCTTTAACAACAGGGTGTTGTTACCAGCTGCCCTTCCAGTGAATCAGGGAAAATCTTGGTGAAGGACTTCCTCAATATGTTTTTCTGCAATTCAATGAGCTACTAATTTGAGGGATAGTCACTGAAGTTGTCAGAGTTTGAGTCAGGGACCATGATGTACATTTAGGAGCAGTCCTGAACACAGGGAAAGGAAATAAAAAAGGATTCACAGCAGAAAGGAAGATGACCATTCTACCTGGACGGCTTAGTGACAGCCTGTACAGACTTGCTCTGCTAAGGTATTATCCATGTGAGGAACAGAGGAACAGCATTTGTTTGATTTCTGTGAAGAGCCAAACTTCCTTATGAGAAGGGCAGGGGAGGAATATGGCTGGTAATGATTTCAGACTGCCTGAGGCAGTGAGTGGCCTGGCAGCTTGAAGTCATGTTATAAACAGTTCTTTATAACCAAATTTGGTTTAGAACACAATCAAGGATGAGCAAGACAGGTCCACAGGCACTGTGGCCATCCTTTCACCTCACTAGGTATCCACAGAAATGGGAGCTGCTTATTTCTGTGGTTGGGAAGAAACAAGACTAACAGTTCAATCAGGGCTACCATCCACTCCAGAAGTTTGTGTGCCTTGAGAGTTTGCTATCACACATGGATTTAGAATAATATTAAGTCATTTCAGCATGTGGAGAACATAACGAGTTCCCTTTCACATTCCCTTCTCTCCTTTCTCCACTACTCCTGGCTTCTAGTTACCATCCACATCTGGCCATCACCACTGTCTTCCCCCACCCACTCCTTTCCCTTGGATTCACAAGTTCCATTTTTTCACTCTGGTCGTAATTGCTTTATTTCTTTTCTGATCTGAGTACAGAAAATCATAGGAAGAGGGACAGCATTTGAACCCCATCCATTTTCAGAACAAAGAATCTGACTTTGAGATATGAAGCAACTGGAGTGAAGGACCCCTCTCCCCCCACAGTGGGTAAGGAGAGGGGGATGTGACATATTTTCTGTGCTTAGGGCATATCATGAACACAGTGAGGCCTGTTGGTAAGTCCAATAACATTAAAAAACAATGATAACTAATAGGGACTTTGAATATTCAGTGGTATTAGAGTAACCTTGCCTTTTTATGTGTCCTTCCATAGATAAAAAGAAGCAAAATTGCTGGGATGGCTAGGATTTCAAAATACTACTTCATAATAAGCATAAAACACATCTTAAAGCACATATTATGGGTCCAGAAGAACACATCTTTCAGTCTGCAAGAAGTATTTAAACTACTCTGGCAGATGAAGGTAAGAAAACATTAATTTCAGCTAGTCTTTCTTTGATACATGCCAATGAGTACAGAAATGCAAAAATGAAACAACTTAAGAATGTGTAGCTCAAATTACATATGAAAATCATCCATTCAAAGTGTGGATTTAATCATTTTTGTCTTAGTCAGCTCATTCTTTCAATCACCCATTTCCCATTCCAGGTTACAATACTTACACTGTAGTGTAGATTACTATAATTAACAGGTTAAATGCATGAAAACAGTTTTTTCCCCTTGATGTGCCTTTGGATCTTTTATTTTTGCTAGCAGTCATACTGTAGAGTCACTTCCTATGAAAGAGAAACAACTGCCATGGGGTTTCTTAATGCTGCTTATGCTCTTTTCTTTCCCTCCAGTAATAACAGTAAGAAATTATTGTCTGTAAATAAAATAATATAATGGAGAGCATATATCAGGAGAAGTATGTTAAAAGCTGCATGTATAACATGCATAGGTACAGACCGCTTATATTGATGGAGTAGCCAATGTTGGATTTTATTAAGATGCAATGAGAACCTTTCTAATCTCATTGTATAGAGCAGTTCTTTTCTGATCTAAACCAACTCCTTCACTTAGCATGCAATTTAATTCTACAGAATAAGAAAGAAAATAGTCTATAAATGTCTTTTGTGCTGTGATATGTACAGCAAATATCAACATTGCTCTTACTTTGTTTTCTCCACCAACAATTCTGTGTGGCATATCTGTAAATTTATTTATTTTTTAATCATATGTCCTGCTGGTTATAACATAACTTAATGTACCAGCTGCAATTAACAGACTGTCAAAGGATCAACTAACAAGTGCTGATAAGCTTCATTTAACTAATTTGAGGAGTGGAAGTTTGATTTTCTTTTTTTTTTTCCAGGAAGGTAGCTTGTTTCCTTATTTCCTGTCAAGTGAGCCAACTCCTGTGACCTGTAGTTAAAAGGGCCCTTTGTAATTAAGGCAGTGAGCCTCCAAGTGAACAGTTCTCACAGTAGGAGGGGGAGCAGGGGGGAAAAGAAGAAGAAAAAAGCAACAAGGGAAAAAAAAGAGGATGCATGACACTGCTTAACTAACTAATCGGAGCTGAGCCAATCCATTTTCCTGCGGCCCACTCAGTGTAGCATGCGCACGCAGAACCTCGCCCTTCATTGGCTTCATGTCCATTTTATGGACCAGCGAGTCTATTAAGATCTTGGTGAGTGGCCCTATCCGAGGGAAGGGCTCTCTCTCCGCCTACCCACAGACTACCAGAAACTGATCAGCCGTGTTATATCAATAACGTTCTCACACCAGGTTGTGTAAATTGATCTTTTACAATTTCTCTCGGTGACAGTCTCTGTAACCAACAAGATAAATCATTCCTCCTGCGGCTTTTTTATTGATTGCTGAGACCTGTATAAAAATTACACTGCTCAAGCTGTGAAGTGAACATCCTCATAAAAGAAGACCTTCTATTTACAACCAAAATGCATTTGGTCCAGATCAAGCACAGATAGTAAATACCATCCCAACACTATAAGAGACCAGAATTAACTGAGATTCAAAGCACCAACAAAGTAACTCGCATAAACTTTTAAATGCGAATGGTGCACAACAACACCAAGAAAAAAAAGAAAAGTAAACAAAAAACCCCAAACTTGCAGGGTTATAAAGTCTTGCTGAAGTAAAGGCAGTTGTAATAGCAAACCATCTGTTAAAAACAATGATGAAGAAGAAGCACAGCAACACAATCAGCTAGATTTTTTTCCTTTTTGTTTTTTTTTTGTTTTGTTTGTTTGTTTTTGGTTTTTTTGTTTTGTTTTTTTTTTTTGCAATTGCTTGTACAAACACTAACACAAATTGCTTTTTGCTATCCTTTTAGCATCCACACAAATATATATTTTTTTAATGGAACCGTAACGTTTGAAGGCTTCTTACCTTTTCAGAAAAGAAATGATCTTCAACTTTGGAAGATCTGGCAGCTGTAATATAATTCTAGGGAAATTGATTTAAGCTGCTGTATAGTACTGGCTTTACTGTTTTATTAAAGTAAATAGTCTAATGATGTCTAACATAGGCAACCAAATGCATTTACAGTTTTTAGGCACCATCAACTCTATAAGGATTATATTCCTTACACTTTATTCCATAATTTAAATTCTGGTAAAATAGTCTCTAATTTCTGTTGCTTTAATTATTTAAAACTTATGCTAATACTGTTTAGACACAATTTCTAAGAGTGTCTTTTGAAACAGGTGGACTTAAACAGAGCAAAATTGTTAAATGTTAGATTATCAAACATGATGAAAAAATTAGCATGTGATTCAGAGGGCTGAAAACCAGATATGAAATACAAATTTCATTGTCTTACTGACTCAGTTTTTGGATAGGACACTTATGAGCCAATACTTCAATTTACTCACCTGTGAAAAATTATTACAGTATTTAGAGGAAATGTGTCATTTCTGTATCATGCTAAGTGAAATCAGTAGAGATACACTCAAGCTAGCCTTGTTCTCTGGGAAATGGTGAAGTTTAAATTAGTGTTTGCAAAGTACTCTGAAACACTTGATGATAAGACTCAAAAATGATTCAAAAATGCAAGCTTTTGTTATTATGATTCTCTGACACAAAAAATGAAGGATGCATTCAAGTATTTCATGTTATCAGAAAACTGTGCAGCCATGATTAGTGCTACCAAGGAGAACTCTGTACCAAGTAGTGTCTCAAAATTAAGAATGTTGTCAAAAGCATAGTTCCCATTAGGTCTTATAAGTCATTTTTTTTCTGTTGAAATCAAAATCTGTGGTTAATCTAAACACTTGTGATGCTGAAGAAAATATAGATTTTTCTTTTTTTTAGATTGTGCAAGTGTAACTAGAATTACATGTTTAGAATTGCTAAATACTCAACTATGCTAAATTATTTTAAATGTCAAAAACATATGCTATTTTTGCTGTTTAGTAATTGGTTGGTCAAAGAAACTTCAGAATAGAAATGTGCATCAATCTCAAAATTCAGACTATGAAAATAATTAACTTTTTTCTAGTGCTATAAAACTCTACATAAATGACAGAAGCACTTCTTTATTTGCTTGCTGAGTAAGGTGATTTCCCCACCTAAATTAAAAGAAAGAAGGGAAGGAGTTTGTTGGACAAGGCAGGGTTTCAATATATATGGTTAAGACTGCACTCTTCTTAGACTTCAGAATAAATTTTGCTGGTATTGTCTATTCACTTTTCTATTCTTCTTCAAAAGACATTGTCAAAGGGAGAGAGTTAAAACACTATTTATTAGAAAAACTTGATTGGGAGAAGCCAGTTCAAGGCTCAGAACCCAGACAAAGGGCCAGTGTGAACAAAGGATTGTGTGAGGACAGTGAAAGTAGTAAAATATAAAAGTTATGTTTAAAGAACATATTTTGTCTGTATATTAGAATATTTTATCAAAGTATGTGAATTATCCAAACCAAATTCTTCTGATTCCTCTTTTCATTATTAGCTTTATTTATATGCTTCCCCTTGCATCTCAGTGGTGAACTGATGATGACAATACCAATATTCTGGGGCATTGAGGGGTTTAGTTTGTTTCCTTTAGGCAAGAATGCAAAATAACTGGAGTTAATTTCTAGCAGCATCCTCTTGATTTCTCTTGATCCTGGTCTGTGATGACTCTTCAAGCATCCCATTGGAAGCAATTGTGGGAAAAAGGCCATTCCCTTTTCAGCTGTTCTTCCAAACCCTAATGAGTTAACAATTGAAATACAGAAAGTTGCTTCAGAGGTCAGGAGAGTATATTCTACACAATGGTCACAGCATTTGAAGCCATGACAGCACTATAAATTGACAAACTAAAGCAGAGCACTTGGTGGTCTGAAGTGGAGAAAAGAACATCAGCCAAGAGCAGTAAAAGACAAGCCATGAAACCACACAGAAAAAAATGAGTGATTTTTTTCAGATCACCTTGTTAGAATTTAGTGTATCAGAGGTCAGATGAGTAGAACAATAATAAGGTCCAAGGTTGAATACCAGTGGGGAAGCTTAACCCAGGAGCTCCAGGTCAACCATAAGTGAATGAGGTAGAACAGTGAAACAGTAGTCACTCAGGAAGGGAACGCACAAAAGTCAGTGGGTTAAGGGGAGGAGCCCAACAGTTATCAATTAGACTAAGAGAAAGCCCAGGCTCGAGCACCTGGGATAAAAAAATAATCCCAGTGTGATGAAAGGAGATTTTCTCCTGTGCACAGCTCTTGTTCCTTGGTTTTCAGGTTTTGAGAAATTTGAAATGTATAAAGCTAAAGATCTGAAATTTGTAACAGATGAGAAAACACTGGCCAGCTGGACGCATGTTTTATGTGCATATGACAATGTTTTTATCCCACGCTGGACAGTCTGCTGAGATAGAGGCACAAAAGTAAATTTCTTTTAAAAATATGAGCAAACAAATACACACACAGGCAAATACAGGCATGCACACATGTACACCACTGCGAAGGGGGTGTTTTTTACTTCTTATTTTCTTCAGAAAAGTATAATTCACACCAATTTTATTTTTAACTTATGAGGAGGAATTTCTTTAGATTTGTGAAGAAAATTGCTTCAAGTGATAAGTATGGAATATTTAAGTGACATTTTACAATGTAAAATGTATATATATATATATATGGTTATGCAACTTCCTCTTTCGATGAACATGCATCACCTAATTTAGTAGGAATTTTGCCACTGATTTCATTGGAGCTAGAAAAAGCTCAAAATAAAGCAGATTATGTCTGATATCCCATAGTTCAGAGTACATTGAATATATCCAAGTAGAGCTAGCCAAAACTATTCACTAATATGAACACGTTTTTTTCTGTTATGCAGATTTCCATTTATGGTTGTTATTAGATATGAACAACTGTGGTATTACCTTTGTACATGTCTGTGGGAGTGGAGTGAGGGTGAGGGGTAGTGTGTGCATGTGTTTATACAGCAGAAGTTTTTGTGATATCTACACTATGTACCTGAA